CAGTTTACCTTCAAGTGACATTATACTATTTCATATGTAGTGTAAGAACCTTGGAATATTATACTTTGCTTCCTCCCCTCCTGGTTTTGTGTACATTAGAATTATATATAATAGAACATTGGCCATTTTAAGTGTACGATTCAGTAGCATTAAGTACATTCACAATGTTGTGTAACCATTACTACTATCTATTTCCAGAACTTGAAACAGAAACTGTAAACAGTAAGCAGTAATTCTGCATTCCTCAAGTCCCTGGTAACCTCAGTCTACTTTCTGTCTCTATGAGTTTGCCTATTCTACATGTTTAATGTAAGTGGAATCATGTAATATTTCTTGTTTTGTGTCTGGCTTCTTTCACTCAGCATAATGGTTTCAGAGTTCATCCATGTTGTAGATGAAAAATACCGGAATGTCATTTCTTTTAAGTGGCTAAGTAGTATTTCATTTGTGGGCTTAGGCTGTATTTTTTTTTCCTATTCATCTGTTGATGGATACTTAGGTTGTTTTCACCTTTTGACTATTGTGAATAATACTGTTATGAACATGATGTACAAGTATTTGCTTGATCCCTGTTCTCAATTTGGGTATATACTTAGGAGTGGAATTGCTGGGTCGTATAGTAATTCTGTTTAACTATTTGAGGAACTATCAAACTGTTTTCCACACTGTTTGTACCATTTTACATTCCCAATGCAATATATCTTTCAAAGAGACAAAAATTAAAATTTAAAAGTGAGCGTGAATTCTTTTTTGAAATTTTTTTTGTTGAAATTACTTTTAAAAGTGAAAACCAATCTATCCATCAACGGAAGACTTACTAAGTGCCTCCTGGTGCCCAGTTCTATGTTGAGAGGGTACACAAAAAGTATAAAACAACTCCTTAGATAATTTTTAACCTAGTTGGGAAGATAAAGCATATATTCAACAAACACTTATTGAACATCTAAACAATGGAATTCAGAGAAAAATGAGATACTACTTATGTGCTGATGACCTGTATACTCCTCCCCTCCCTGTTTATTTTTTTCAATTTTGGCTTCTCTCCTGTGCTTGACACTGCCATTTCTAATTGCTTACTGAACATCCTTATTTGGACATCTAAAAATCTCAAACCTATGAAATCTTAAGTCGAACTTTTTGTTGCCTCCTATTTTTCCATTTCCTCCTCCATAATCCCATACACTATCCTTTTGTGTGGTCCACTTCAGAATTCATCTTAGATTTATCCATCTCCTTTAAGAGCCATCAAGAGCTGCACCAGTGAAATGTCAAACCTGCATTCCTGCGTCGTCGTGGAGTTTATGCCTTTGTCAGCCATAGCTTACAGGATGGAGTCCAGCTTCTTGGGATTACATAAGAAACTGATACTTCACTCCAGTCTTACCTCCTGCAGGTTCAGCCCCGGAGTCTGGCATTCTAGTTGACTTTTTCCTGAGTGCTTTAATCGTATCATTCCAATTTTTCAGTCTTTCCCTCCAACCCCATAACTATTGCTGTTTGTGTCTTCTTCTCCCTCATCCATTTTCCAAGTTCTCCCTCATTCTTTCATCTCTGACCTAGACTTCAGAGCCGAGGTGAGATATGTTCTTCCCTTGAAGCTTTTCAAAACTATTCCTTCAAATAATACTGTACTACTTCATATCTAGTATAAGACCTTACAGTTCCTAATTGCCCCCCTATTCTCTGGTCTGTTGGTTTTATACATTTTATTTTGTGTAACAAAATGCATTCTTGTTTTCCCTTTAGACAGTTATCTTTTAGAGCAATCGAAAATTTTTTAAATTAAAAAATGGATTTTATTTTATTTCCGTTTCTTTCATTTTATTTTTTTATTGTTGTGTATCATGTAGACCTCAGTTTTTGTCTAGTATATGTATATACAGTTATGCTAGTCTGCTGGCAGTAAGTCCTCTTAGTGTTTATTTGTCTGAGAAAGTTTTTATTTCTCCTTCATCTTTTAAAAGATATTTTCTCTGGGTATAGAATTCTGGGTTCACAGTTATATTTCTGTGGTAAAGGTATCAGTCCATCTTCTGGCTTGTATGCTTTTCAGTAAGAAGTTGGCTATAATTCTTACCTTTGTTCCTGTGTATGTAATGTGTGTTTTTTCCTTTGGCTGTCTTCAGGATTTATCTTTATCTTCTGTTTTCAGCATTTTGAATATGATATGTGTAGGTGTGGGTGTTGTGTTGTTTTGTTTTGTATTTGTCCTTCTTGGTATCCTCTGAGATTCTTGGATCTATAGTTTGGTGTCTGTCATTAATGTTGGAAAATTCTTGACCATTATGTCTTCAAATATTTCTTCTACCCATTGTCTCCTCTTTTTGGGATTCTAATTATGCATCAGCTAGGTTATTTAATGCATCCCACAGCGCTTGATGTTCTCTTTTTCCTTCCCAGTTAGTCACCAAATAGGGCAACGTCTGAATTGTGTTAGTTTTTTCTTATGCCTCTTTTGGATATCTTAGGTTTGGGAAAGTCTTTTGACCCAGAAATTAGTAAGAACTATTCCAAAATAGAAGGTCATAAGGAATGCACTCAAACTAGTTTGGCCTGCAAGTAGGAAGTGAGAAGAGAGTTATAGACCAGTTGCATTGAGGAGTGAAGAGCTGCTGTGTGTATCCTCCAATCTGACGGACTTGCTCAGGGTAAGTGGTTATCTAAATCTATTCTTTTCTTCCTTAACTGCTTCACAAGACCATCAAACTAACTATTATTTTACTCTTATTCAGCGGGATAACCAACTATAGCCCCTTCATCCTAAACAAAATTAATGTGGATTACTTTTACAAATATTTTGTTCTTAAATGGGTCATGGGTCCTGGATTATGACATCTTGATAGTATTAGGCTTATAGAACTTCACGAGGGCCTTTTTTTTCCCCTGTCAATTCCGAAACAGGAGACTTCCTGAGTCCTTTATCCAATATATTTTATCTCTTACTGGCTACAGTCATAAATTTGTTTATTCATTTATTCTTTCCTTTGTTCAAATATTTTATAAACCTACTATCTCAGAGTTACTGTATGCTGATGATAATTACAGTGATGAACAAGATGTCCTTTCCTCCAGGAGCTGGAGAAACTCTTCCTTAACTAATACACAAGTGTGGTTAGTACTGTAATGGAGGTGTGAAGTGCTATGGGACACAGATTCATTTGTACTACAGGAACTTGGTCAGTGCTTTGTAGGAGTGACAGTGTTTTCACTGGGTTTTAAAAATGACTAGGATCTTGATAGGCAGAGAAGTGGATGGTCATTCTAAGCTAAGCAAACAGCTAACAGAGAGGCAATAATTTGCTCAAGTATTGGGCAGACTGTTCCTTTGAAGGCCTGTTTCTTTTTCCTTCTCTTTTACGCTCATTACAAGACTTATTTTTTGTTGTTGTTGTCCTAGTCTCTTGTTATTTCCTAAAACTTTTATCTTTTCTGTCACTCATATTTTCTTTCTGTTTTCAACAATTAGTAAATTATTTAAAAAGGGACCCCCCCCCCCGCAAAAAATCTTCCTTGTTTCAGGGACTTACAGGTAAAGTAGGTATCAAGGTTTGAGACTAGATCCTGTTTTGCAGTATTCCTGGGAGTGAAAAACCTGAAAAGAAGACAGTTAATAACTTATAGAAAGGAGGAGACAGGCTACCCTAATACTGTTTCTGGAGGGAAAAACTGCAGGGGGAGCCAGGCAGAGATGGAGAAGAATATTGATGGTTTATGCTTTTGGGAAGTCCTGTACCCAGTGAATTACTTACTTTGACTTGGTTGTGTATGGTCCAGTTCTTTTTTCCTCGATCAGGACAAATGAGGCTCAACTAAGGAAAGTAAACATAAGATACCTACTCCAAAACTGAACTCCTCTTAACTGTCATGAATGACAAGTAGAACTGTTAAAATGTGTGAGCTTTATCGGTTAACCCTGGTATTTTCTCTGGGGTAGGAAGCTGAAGCATCTATCTCCAGAAATGTCTTCAGAAAGTAAAGGGCAAGATGACCTTTCATTCAAGGACTCCCTTGAAGGAGACGACCAGTACAGTCCTCCATCTAGGATCCGTCTGGAGGATGAAAAGGAATCAAGTACTATCTTCAAGGAAGAGGCCAATGATCAATGTATACCTTATCCTAGGATCCATTTGGAGCCTCAAGAGAAACCAAATACTAACTTCAAGCAGTTTGTCATGAAAAAACTACAAAAAAGTTGCCAGTGCAGTCCAACCAAAGCCAAAAATATGATTTTTGATTTTCTTCCTGTTCTGCGGTGGCTTCCAAAATACCAGCTGAAGAAAAACATTTTAGGAGATGTGATGTCTGGCTTGATTGTGGGCATCTTATTAGTGCCCCAATCCATTGCTTATTCTCTCTTGGCTGGCCAAGAACCTGTCTATGGTCTGTACACATCTTTTTTTGCCAGCATCATTTATTTCCTGTTTGGTACCTCCCGTCACATCTCTGTGGGCATTTTTGGAGTACTGTGCCTTATGATTGGTGAAGTAGTTGACCGAGAACTACTAAAAGCCGGCTATGACACTGCCCATATTCCTCCTTCTTCAGGAATGGTTTCAAATGAGAGCACATTATTAAACCAGGAATCAGACAGGATATGTGACAGAAGTTGCTATGCAATTACAGTTGGCAGCACTGTAACATTTATGGCTGGAGTTTATCAGGTAAGAAACAATGGAGTAAGTGGTTGTCTCTGGCTTAAGAAATCACTATATATGAAATCTCAGATCTGTAAGGGACCTTAGAGATCATAATAGTTAAAGCTATCATTTATTGAACGCTCAGGATATATGAGAGGTAGAGCCAAAATTTAAACCCTGGTTTGACTCCACAGGTAAGACAAGACTGCTTCTATTTTCTCGACCCTAGCCTGCCTCTTAACCAGTGACTCTCTGTCAGCCAGATTTTAATTATTTGATTGTAAACATTTAAACCAGAAAGGGGCCTCAGACCACATAGTACAACTTCTTAATTTTATATGTCGAGAATTGTTGGGTTTGCCTGAAACTATGTGTGGTTGGTTATTGGTAGAGTCAGCATTAACAAGCAGGAGGGTAATGATGAGGGTGGGGAGAGGAGGAATGCAAGAGTTTTTCAAACTATAGGCGACCCCCTCACCTTTTAGAATTACTGCTCTAGTGGGTGACTCTCACTAAAGGTAGTAGTTTTCTTGGACTGTTGGGGACCACTATTTTATACTGTAAGTCAGGAGAAAGGATTAGAATGAAATTCTTCTTGGGTCCCCCATAGACTCCACTAATCTGCCATTATCATCAAGCTCCTGCCTTTTGGCATCCAGGAGTCATTGCCAGCATTAAATCTCTTCTCTGTTACGGACATTTGGAACCAATATGGGAAGGGGAAGAGTAGCTCACTCCATTTGGTGTTTGGATGAGGAGGAGAGGGAGAAGAGGCTGGAGTGTGAAAGAGCTGTGCTCCTCAGAGTTCATTTTTGCTTTTTTGTTAGTATGCCTCACCAAGAATGAGGAAGGGTGCAATGGAATTCTGAGGAATTATTGGGAAGAGGAAAAGATAAAGAAATAAAATGTATCTTTGAGGATGCAGAATTAACATGGGAAGCAATATGGCATAACATTGGATAAGAGTAGTTTCTCAATTTGAGGTTAAAGAGAGTTCTATAATAATTTTTTTAAATTAAAAAAATTTTTTTCTTTTTTTTATTAATCAGTTTACAATGTTAGTTTCAGGTGTAAAGCAAAGCAATTTAGTTATTCTATAATAATTTAAAAAGTGTGATTCTATTTTGATGTGAATTTAATTTTTTTGTTTTATCAGTTAAAATTTAATTTTTGTCATTCACAGAAATGATTTGTAATTTAAAGAAAATATAAGGTTTTTTAATTAGAACTTTTCCAATTTAAGTTTTTATGAGTTCTCGTGGATTCCTGAGAATTTTTTTCAAAGTGGTCTGAACCTTATTCAAGTTTAAGAAACATTGTACAAGAAGGTAGGAATCCTAAGTTCTTGTGTTGCCTCAGCCTAGTGAGTAATAGTGTGACCCTGGGCAAGTTGCTTAGCCTTCTAAGTGTCAGTAAAATGAGCCCTCTCCTTGTAAAATGAGAGGATTGATATATGATTGTGTTTTTTCTAGCTCTGACATCCTGTGATGCTCTGATGGTATGTCTCCACACAAATGCCAAGGGAATACAGGATTTAGAGGCTTTTTTCCATTTATATTTAACACATGTATATCCTTTCTTTCAGGTAGCGATGGGCTTCTTTCAAGTGGGCTTTGTTTCGGTCTACCTCTCAGACGCCTTGCTGAGTGGATTTGTCACTGGTGCCTCCTTCACTATTCTTACATCTCAGGCCAAGTACCTCCTTGGGCTCAGCCTTCCTCGGAGTAATGGCGTGGGCTCACTCATCACTACTTGGATACATATCTTCAAAAACATCCATAAGACTAATCTCTGTGATCTTATCACCAGCCTTTTGTGCCTTTTGGTTCTTGTGCCAACCAAAGAACTCAACGAGCATTTCAAGTCCAAGCTCAAGGCACCGATTCCTACTGAACTCATTGTCGTGGTGGCGGCCACATTAGCCTCTCATTTTGGAAAACTAAATGAGAAATACAGCACCAGTATTGCTGGACATATTCCCACTGGGTTTCTGCCACCCAAAGCACCAGACTGGAACTTAATTCCTAATGTAGCTGTGGATGCAATAGCTATTTCTATTATTGGTTTTGCTATCACTGTATCACTTTCTGAGATGTTTGCTAAGAAACATGGCTACGCAGTCAAAGCTAATCAGGAAATGTATGCCATTGGCTTTTGCAATATCATCCCTTCCTTCTTCCACTGCTTTACTACTAGCGCAGCTCTTGCAAAGACATTGGTTAAAGAATCCACAGGCTGCCAGACTCAGATCTCTGGTGTGGTGACAGCTCTTGTTCTTTTGTTGGTCCTCTTGGTAATAGCTCCATTATTCTATTCCCTTCAGAAGAGTGTCCTTGGTGTGATCACGATTGTAAATCTCCGAGGAGCCCTATGTAAATTTAAGGATCTGCCCAAGATGTGGAAGGTTAGCAGAATGGATACAGTTATCTGGTTTGTTACTATGCTGTCCTCTGCACTGATAAGTACTGAAATAGGCCTGCTTGTCGGGGTTTGTTTTTCTATGTTTTGTGTCATCCTCCGCACTCAGAAGCCAAAGAGTTCATTGCTTGGCTTGGTGAAAGAGTCCGAAATCTTTGAATCCACGTCTGCCTACAAGAACCTTTGGACTAAGCCGGGCATCAAGATTTTCCGCTTTGTAGCCCCTCTCTACTACATAAACAAAGAATATTTTAAATCTGCTTTATACAAAAAAACTCTCAACCCAGTCTTAGTGGAGGCAGCTCAGAAGAAGGCAGCAAAGAAAAAGATCAGAAAGGAAATAGCAACTCTCAGTAGAATCCAGGATGAAGTTTCAGTGCAGCTTTCCCACGACCCCTTAGAGTTCCACACCGTGGTGATTGACTGCAGTGCAGTGCAGTTTCTGGACACTGCAGGGATCAACACACTGAAAGAGGTGCGCAGAGACTTCAGAGCTGTTGGCATTCAGGTTCTGCTGGCTCAGTGCAATCCCTCCGTGAGGGATTCCCTGGCCCGGGGAGAGTATTGCAAACAGGAAGAAGAAAACCTTCTCTTTTATAGTGTATATGAAGCAATGACTTTTGCCGAAGAATCTCAAAATCAGAAAGGAACATATATTCCCAATGGTCTGAATTTTTCCACTGATTGATTGAGAAAGTAGGTGGAAGGATGAATACTGTCTAGCCAACAGGCTAAAATTTCAGGTGTATAACATAGCATCTGGCTTTTAATTGGAAAGCACCATTCCTCTCGGGCACAGTCTTAACAGGAGTCTGATGGCTGAGCAGGTTTGTGAAATCTCACCAGCCAGCCCCACATTGTACAGAACACTTTTAGTAATACATTTGATGTTTTAGTCATGTCTTTTTGTTTAGGGTAAGTATGTAAGAAAAGAACTCTTTATAATCAGCAAAAATAATGAGAATCCTCCCTATCTTCTGTGGTCCCTATCTGTCCCTGTTTCTGAGCATTTCTCTACCATTAAGCTCTGTTTTAGCTTTGTCATTTACTGTGTTTCCCATAGAATCTGTCCTAACTGATAACCAGTGTCAGGTTTGCCAGATACAAGGCAGAAAGCTGAGCCAGCAATTTTATATAGCGTTTTAAATGAGCCTGAGGCAAACTGTTAGGGACAGATTGCAAAAAGGAATGATTGACAGTTTCCCTTAAGAATTTGTTTATTTAGCAGTGATTTTTTTTTCCCCCTTCCCATGGCATTTTAGCAAGGGTCGGCTGGGGACTGACAGTCTTTCTCATATTTGAGAAGCCACTGTTCATCATTACTCTACAAGGAAAATGTAACCAGTAGAAAAGAGTGCACAGAAGTGATAAAGTACTTCCAAAAAAACATCAATAATTAATTTATAGATGTTTTGGTGAAAACAAAGCTAATGCTTACTGCCATGCACCCTTTTGATGTACAATAAATATTGATGACAGTGACAGATTTCAACTCTTTGGGCCACCTAAAACTATTATGCAAGAGGATTTGGAAGCATTACATTCATACAACCCAAGTTCTGCAGGTGTATTATGTATGAGAGCTGGTCACAGATTGTGGCACAGGAATAGTTCCTTTTGAAAAACATGTCCTACATTGAAAGCTTATAGTTCTGTATCTGGACCTTAATGGGTGAGGGAAAAAAAGTAAGTTTTCCAAAGTTAGGACTAAGACACTAATTTATGTGAGATTGAAACATTTAGCCACACCATTTAAAACAAAATAAAAATTGCAAAAGTGCTGAATCATTTTTTAAACCTACTCCTACTTTCTAAACATTTTAAATATTTATGAGAAGCAAACCTTACATCTATTGGAATGGGATGCTTTTAGGCATACTTAACTTTCTTGTTGGCTCCATAAACTGTCAAGTGTTGATTTTCTTTTGGTAGAAATCTGCCCATCAGTTTACATGGAAAATGCCTTTCCGTATTAAAACAAAGCTGTTCCTTGGGAGCTGCATTTCTATCTTTGAGGTCATTACATGATTAAATGTAATAGTGTCCTGAATTTTGACATCCTTTTAGGACTTAAGTCTAGAGTCTCAGAAATGTTAACTACTGTTTGTATTTGTGTGGTTTTTGTTTATTTTTAGCCAATATTTGCATTTTCTATCTAGTCTTATGACTAGCAATGGTAAAATTACTGTGTCTTTGTCTGTCATTTGTTTTTACTCTCTCTTGTCCTTCCCCCAAGCCAGGTCTGAATCCATACCATTATAGATATCTAATGCCATTGATGGAGTAGTGAGTACATGTTCACGATGACTAATTTAGAAAAAACAAGTGCAGCAAAAAAAAAAAAAAAAGTCAGTCCAAAGAATTTGGAAAATCTCTTTGAAGAACAAAGTAACAGGATTTGATCTTTACCTGACATTTCTGTCCATATGTGGGTATAAATAGTTCTGGAACTTTATACAATTAGCAAATTCTTGAATTGTGTGCTGGTTTATTCTTCTCCCACCTATACAAACAAACAAACAAACAAATAAGAGATTCTGCTTTTAGAAGCCATTTGTAAAAACATTTAAGGTATCACTATAATTTATATCTCACCTTCTTCTCTGCTTGGATTGAGGTCTACCAGCACTTACACATTGTTCAGCTTTTTTGACTGCTAATTTTTTAAAGGAGTCAAACCTGAATCCAAAGCCTAATTCACAAACAAAACTAATGTTTTCATTTGCTTTCTTACTCAAGGACTTGGACTTTAGTCATTAAGTGATATTTTACACATTTTATTGATACGGAAATATCTTGCTTACTCTAAACTGTAGAGTCTAAATGAAGCATATTCTCATTGCTTATTGACAGATGTACAAAATTCTGAATATATTAAAATGTCCATTTAATTGAAATGTAGTGTGTATACTATTGATGGTTAAAACTCTTACAACCAGAGGGATGGAGTTTGCCAGTGCACAGAGAGATTAAGGATAATATTCAAGAGACAGGTGAATGGAATAGACCATTGAAAAGACTATCTGACCAACCGAGGGAGGAAAGAAAGGGACTCAGATGAATAGGATCCAATTCTTGGTTAGCCCCACACAACAATAAGGAGATCAGGAGAAAGAGCCACACTTCTGCTGCACCTTAGTTTGAGAGCAAGGTCAGACTGGATTGTTCCTAGAAGGGGAGGGGCACCTGGTAGCTAAGGTTGGGGTAAGTACCTTGGTTGATGTACTCTAGAGCACTAGATTGAGTGCCTGTAGTCTGATGGTGGTAAAACTGGCAGGTGTCTAGTTGACTTTTTTTTTTTTAAGAAGCAGCAAAGGAAAACAAGGTTTGGATAGTCCGACTTAGCTTTTAAACGATAGTAGACATTGAAGCCAAAATTTGTTGGTAAATCTACAGTATGGTAAATGGTGATCTTTAAATATGTGTCATTGGTGTTAGATGAGTTCATTAGACTCTTTTAATGTTGATGACCACATTTTAACAAGAATAGTAGTTATCTGCAGAGGTATTCTGTTAGTAATTTGTCATTTAAGAATATATTGGGTGTTAGCCATGATCTTAATGTAAAAGTGAGAAAAAGTCTATAATGAATTTCTTGGGAAGTTAATTTGAGCCTAGAAGTTACAATGATAAATGGTGAATTCAAGCTCTGTGATGCTTATTAATGTTCTTAATGGATTATTTTCTGCTATCTATTGCTATAGGTGAGCCATAGCATCAAGGTAGACAATTAACTCTTAACACTTCTTAAGGATCTATGCAGGAGTCTAGGGCCAGGTGCCGGGACAGTAGTACTAAACCCGTGGTAACTCTACTAGGTAATACACAGGGGCACTTGGTTAAAGCTTAGCCTGGGCTGAGGGCTGAGTGGGAGGCAGACAACTGATGCAAACAAGGAGGCATTGATGCCCTGGTCTATTCAAGGAATGATTGCACAGTGATATTACTTTGCTTAATTTTTCTGTTCTTTATCTTTAATGTCTTTTTTTCTTTTAATATTTTATCTGTTTTAGTGGTGCCTTATTTGAAATGGCTTTAAAAACTGCAAAAAGAAAAAATTGGATCTAGAAAGCTTTT